GAGCAGGTGGTGTGTCAATCTGACACGAACCTCACTGAACGCCAAAAGCCCAAACCCTGAACCCTGAACCCTAAACCCCAAACCCCAAACCCTAAACCCTAAAAAAAGAAAAAAACAAGAGGTTGTTCTGTGTGCGTTTGGGTTTTAGGGCTTCACAGGCTGTCGCGTTAGACTTAACCCCAAAACCCCAAACCCAAAACCCAAAACCCAGAACCCTCAACCCTAAGCCATGAAAACCATAAACCCTATTCGGGCTGGCTTTCGCGTCTAGGGGCGATGTACGGCGACGCCCGAGCTTCCATTGTCGGGAAGGTTCGGGTTCACGGTTGGGCTTAAGGGGTTTAGCGGGTTTAGGGTTTAGGGTGTAGGGTTTTTAGGGTTTTTGGAGGGTTTAAGGGCTTTGGGTTGAGGGCGTGGGAGCTTTCTCAGGTTTGGGACTCCAACAGGTAGCTTGCAGGTAGACGCTCAGGAACACCAACCAAGAAAGAAGCTAATCGTACTAAGTGCGTCCAAGTCATGGCGCTTTCAACTAACGTTTACACCTATTCAGTTACTGTTGTACTTCATATCCTAATTCTCTCCTACCAGTTCACATCTGGCTTTCCGAGCCCGAGAAAGTGTCGCACCTCCTGGTCCAGGCTGGCAGACCTCGCTGCTTGTACGGAGGTCTTTGGTAAGTCTTGTTTTACGAAAGGCATTGTGCATGTAGAACGATAAATCTAACACAACACATCGGACCTCCTAAACACTAAACACCCTAAACCTCAGAGGGTTGAAGGACAGCGGCTGACTTTCAGGTTCACGACCCCTCAGTTAAGGAAAATGCCACACATCTTCATAGTAAGAGGAAATTCGAGGCGTATTCATTTGATTTAGGGGGTATGGGGCTTTCTGGGAAACCTGGAAACGCAAGCCTTTGAAAGGTCTAGGAGTCCAGAATGAACTGGTAGCTGGCAGCCTTACATGTTTCTGCAGAAACGAAAGGACTGCGTGCACAGCATAAAGGGCTTCAAGCATCCAGACCTGTGCAACCGCAAGTGACACAAGCCCAGCTGTTCCCCGAGGTAAACCAAATTTACTGAACGGAACCCAGATGGAACAGCAAGTGTGGACGGAAATCCAGCTTGCAATCACGGGACATGGCGTGCTTGCAGAGCACACGCCGCTTGCTTCAAGTCCGAGCTTCCCCGGGCTTCGCCGTGTCAATGTTTGTTGTTGTTTCTTTTTTTGTGTGTTTCGCGTGGGGTGTTGTATGGCTTTTGGTAAGGTGAGTCTGTGGTTGGGGCTGGTTTCCTTAACAGTGGAATGCGAGCGTTGAAACTGAGGCCTGTCTATCCAATGTGGGCAAAGCATGAGCGAAAGCTAGATTGACACTTCGAGCCCTACCGTGACTGGAAGATTGCTGGAGCCGGACAAGAACCGCCAAACGGTTCAGGCATTTCGAGATCACGAGATGAGGGTTTGTAGCTGCTCAAGCTTCAGATCCTGCAACTCTCCGCACAGACTCTGCCAAGACTGCCAAGGCGAAAATGATATGCTTGACCATCTTCCGCCTTATAAGCTTATAAACCCAACATGTGCGGATGCTGTACCTTTTGAACAACTCGACAGCGATCTCGACCCCTCGGCTATCACCAACTCTGACAGTTATGAGCTTTTGAACTCAACCGTCGCTTGTTGTGAGAGTTGCAGGGATCACAGTATGAGATCTTCTTGGGCAAAGCATCGGACACCACTACAACGAACGTCCCACATGCTGACGAGAGCTTTGAGTGCCTTGCGCATGAAACGATCTTAAGTAGGAGACGCTGTTCAAAGGGGATATAGCTGACACACCCACATCCTCACAGAGGGGATCCTATGGTTTCCTTAGGCGCCTGTCGCCCTTTGTACTTTGGACTCAGGAGGACCTGGCATATAACGATTTTTCACTATAGGCACTTTGTCTCAGCCTCGCACAACAGAAAAGACCCTGCAGGTTGAAGCTTTAAAAACCTTGGGAAGCCTATTTCCTCGCACGAAAGCAAGCTTTTTCCAGCGTCCTCTGTGGGTTGCGCTCCTGGCACCAGCCTCCACAAGGACTTCGCGGGAGAAGGACTACGGCAAGGAGGGGCCCAAAAGTTCTCGGGTTGGGGGGTTACAGGGGTCTTCCGGATTAAGGTTTTGGGTTTAGGGCTTGGGGCTCTAAACCTACACCCTGGGAGCATCTTTGAAAGACAAAGTGCAAGACGTTCCTGCATGTCTATGGCATGCTAACGGACAGGCCCAAGTCGAATTTCAAAGCATTAAGATCCTGATCCAGTGTTCGGGAATCCGGTGGATCTTCGATTGGGCGCCTCTACATGCAGGACTACCTCTTCCACTCTCGAAACGCTATCTGAAACTCACCAAAACGTGAACCTGGACCCTGCAGGAAGGGGGGTGCTTTTTGTTTTTGAACTTTTGAGGAGGTGGGGCTGGGCCTCTGCTTTTTGGCTCCAGGGTCCACCGTGCTCACACGGAACTGCCGTACCTTCGCATGGGGAGCCGGCATGGAGGAGGTGGAACCCGCCCCCAGTAATGGTGACTACAGTGGATACTCGTCCGTATACACGGGTCCTAGTAGGTTCTAGCAAAATCCAATTTTGCCACCATTACACACCTAAGGAAGAGATGCGGAGGACCCAGGATGTTGCGGACAACACAACAACCCCAAACCCTAAACCCTGAACCCCTAAACCATAAAGGAGGGGTTTTTCGAAACAGCCCTGAGCCATCCCCGAAGCTCCTTGACCGGTCTTATGCAGGGGATTATCTAGGGTTCCGATTGTGGGGATAGTAAGGGTATTTAATGAGTTTCGTCTATATATATATATGTGTATATATATACACATATATATATATATAGATAGCTCCTGTCACATGACAGGCGTTCCTGTATCCTGAAGGCATTGTGGAGAAATCAGCCGTGTTTAGTGTGCGACAAGGCATCTCTTCAACATGTTCAGGTTCAGAAACTTACACAAAGTTGTCACCACTGGCATGAACCTTAGCATGTTTGGTTGTGTTGGGGTACAACGTGTTGTGAGTGTTGTCGCTGATTACACCAAGGGAAACACGTGCTCTGGCGAAAAGACTCCTACCGGATCTCGGGCAGGAGCTGCGCAGAAGTTGCTTTCACAAATCTCCATTCTATCAACCCTAAACCCTGAATCCGAAACCACGGATTTAGGGTTTAGGGTTTAGGGTTTAGGTTTGGCAGGCAACCATCTCTGCGCTTACATCACACAGTTCAGGGAACCTTCCATATGTGCATGCAGCTCGCGATCTTTCCTGTCAGGCGACCCTCAGGGTTTGCACCACAATTGTGATGCATCAGGCGTTCAGTCCAAGACTCGTTCTCGTGTGACTCTAGACGAGCCAGGAAGACATGCATGCCCCAGAGAGCCCAATACGCCTTAATTAAGAAATAGACCTTAAATTATACGGGGCTTAATATTACGATTTAAGGTATATTCCTTAATTAAGGGGTATTGGACTCTCTGGGGTTGCACCAGGATTCTTCAGGTAGGGTTATTCAAGTGTCTGTGCAGTGACGAATTGGGAGGTTCGCTGCAATAGCTGCGAGAAAACACACGGCTTCGAGAGGCTATGTGAAGCCCCTAAGATCTCTGCTGCTCACACCTTGCTGATTTGTGGTCTGCATTAGAGAACGGTAATAGCAGTACTTCAAACAGACGAAAGAAGGCGAATTTCCCTCTAAGAGCTGTGGAAATCGGCTTATGCTGCCAGGCAAGAATCTTGAGCCAAAAACTGATAGGATCGCTATAATAAAGGAGACGAGTGGCTGGGTGAGGCTTCTATCAGATGCTCCGGTACCGATGAGCAGATGGTACGTTCGACACTGAAGTCCTGCATGACCCCGAACACTGTACAGTAGGAGCCGAAAGAGTGAGTAAGATCATCCCCAATAAAACCCTAATAGAATGTTCCCCAAAAATGCGAATCACTACTGTAATAACTGTTTAGCCCCTAGATTACCCAAACCCGATGTATGGAGAAGTGAAGGTCACGCAGCAGGATCCTAGTCCGGACAACAATGTCGTGTGAGCCCCCTGACGAAATCATTTAGGGTTTAGGGTTTAGGGTTTAGTATCTCCAAACGCAAACCCGTCGTTAGCCCCTTATTCGGATCCTCCTACAGTCCTTGGATGCTCCATGTATTCAAGGGCTCACCCGAAAGCCTAAACCGCGTGGCACCATACAGAGCGGACTCTTGAGGTCTTGGCTAGCAACCCGCCAAAACGTGCTGGCTCTCCAGACGCCTCCAGCTACCAGAACCTCTTTCAGCGAAATCTGACGTGAAAGCTGTTTGAGCTTGATCATGCTCACTTTTCAGCACGGATGACGAATACGTAAGTTCTGGTCGCTTCTGGTTGGCTTACTCAAAGTCACAGCGGAGTTTCTCGAGATCATACATATTCCTGCTCATCTGAGGAATGGGCTCAAAAACCTTAACCCTAAACCGCAAAGTTGAGAAATCTCCGGGATTTATGCCTGAGCTGGGACCTCTGCATCCGCATCAGGGCTGTCGCGGCGCTGCTGCCGCAACACGAATGCGCATGCGACTATCAAGCAAATAGTCAGTACACCGGCAGCAACAAACCTTTGCTGAGCGAAGCACAGGTGACCCAAACAGGCTAAAACAGGGCGTCGGTTGTTGGCGAATGGAAGGAATCGCAAGCATTTATACAGAATTTAGGCAGGTGACAATGATGTCCATCTTTCACCACATGTCTTGGCACTATGTAAAGCAATTCTGGGACATGTCATCTATTCATGTAACAGACAGGAAGCAAGATCGTATAGCCAACGTCCAGCTGTGAGCTTCCATCATCCTGATGTTGCCAAGGTGGCCCATCAAAATCGGGCGCATTCACCCTGAACCCTAAACCCTAAACCCCTAAAAGACCTGCATTTACAAGCAACCTCGACTTCTCAGCACCCAAGCCCAATTCCGCCTCGGTAGCTGCCAGGCTGAGATCAGTGGCCGTACTTGAGGTTGCTAACGAACTGGTGCTGCTTGTAACAGACGTTGTTATCGAGCTGGCACTGGTCGTAGTAGAAACCGATGTCGAGCTGACACTGGTCGTGATTGTGACGGTGCTCGTTTCTGTGCTCGTTCTACTTGTTGTTCGAGTACTGCTGAAGGTCGCTGTAATACTGGTTGAAGTTGTGGACGAGGTTGTAATACTTGTGGAAGTTGTGGACGAGCTTGTGACTGTGGATGTGGAAGAGGTTGTGGTGCATCTCCCCAGCACTGTGAGGGACCCGGGATTGCTCAATCCCGTGGACACAAGCACCTGGTTTGTCATGGAGACTGCTTTGAGGAGGATGCCTCAAACACATGGGTCCCTTACTGAATTCGTTGGGATAAGGATTTCAGGAAACCAGTATACACAGAACAACCACGCCCGGGTGTTGCCACTTTCTGCCCAGGACTCGAAACTTCGGCTAAGCAAGATGCCTCACATGTTCCGAACGGCAACCCAGGCGCATGATCACCGAAGATCTGCAAGGTACGTGCCTGTTGCAGGTCCGCGGACGTGGCTGAATGTAAAACCACTGGATTCGTCGGAGCCGAAACGTCAATCACCACGATAGTATTGGCGTCAGTGGCCACGACATACACCCAGTTGTTGTTTGCATCGAAGGTTACCTAGCTTGGCAACAACCATGACTTACTGCCAACTACGAAAACGCAGGATCAGCTTCAAGAAGAGTCGGAATCAAAAAAGTTGTGGAAGAAAACCCACCAATGATGTACCATAGTGGGAGGAGAAGGGACCAAACCTTCTGAACAGCGGTAGTCCTATAGCCAAAAGCCAATGCTAGCAATTGCATAAACCTGCCAAATTCGGAATTTTCTCCCCGCACTCTTCCAAAACTGCGCTGCCATATGTCCCAAACTTCCTTGGTCAAAAATCAGGTGTCGACGCTAAACTAGAAACTCTATGCCAATCTTCTCGCACAGGTCGCGTGCCCATTCCCCTGCATGGAAGTCGAGGTGACGGATCCAACGATTGTCATGCTCGTTGGGTTCGAGATGTCTACAACAAACAGGCCTGCAGAATAGTCCGCCACCTGAGCAACAGTCGAGACTGAATATTTCCCGCCAAATCATAAAAGCCTTGCATATAATCCTCTGTTTGAGCCAGGGAATTCTAAGTAGCCCAAAATGACACCCTCATACGGTCCCTTTTATGCGGATCCTGCTATAATCCTTCTCGAACCGTTACGTACTGCTACTTGAATCAAAGACTTGTATGACCCCTGAGGAAGCTTTAGTACAGCCTGCTCGTCGCGGGGTCCGAGGGTACGGCTGTTGCAAGGGACGAAGATGTTGGGTTTAGGTTTCATCATCTTGGAGAGCTGGAATTTAGGATTTAGGGACTGCCACAAAGCTCGGTTAGACCGAGTCAACGAACAGACTGTGACTCAGACAGTATGCCATGTTGTATAACCATGACATCCACTACGAGCTTCACGTGATGTAAACTTGCTATAGACCACCCTGCACTTTTGTGGCTGTATGGTTGTATGCCCGACTTTGGGTCGGCTCTTGTCAAAGTTAAGCTAAGGCCGTTTACACCGTTCTATACATGCATAGTGCTAAACTCCTTAAAATCAGCATCCCAAACACCCATGCGTTTGACATAAACCAGATTATGCCCGCGCCACGTAGGCATAGGCGCCGGAAATAGCCAAAGCCGTCGGCATCGCCAAGCTGGCGTTCCTTCGTGTTTGTAGCATGGCAGTTTCCATGTCTTTTTGCAAGAAGACAACAGAAGCTTTCACCCAGATACCATAGATCCCTGACAGGCGGACTTTTCCAACTGTTTTCGCTTCGGCGGCGTCTTCTGCGATTCGACTCTCTCGGAGTCTGATCGGTTCCATCGATGTTGAGTTTCATGTCTTACAGAAAAAGACCATCGATGTTTCGGAGGACCGACCGTTTTCCCGGTCGGGCCTCGCAGAAAGAAAGCAGAGGAAAACTACAGCGAAACAAGGGTTAGGGAGGGTGGGAGAAGAAAATCTTTCACAA